TCCTGGCATAAAAAAAAGGGGAACAGATGTTGCAAAGCAATATTTCTTATAATGTGTGCACCTAACATCTATATAAAAAAAATGCCACGTTCCTTTGTGGTATTAACATAACTCAAAACCACTGGGCAAATTGACACCAAATTTGGACACAATACACCTATCAGGCCAGCGAGTGACCATCACTCATAAAAACACTGAAAAACACAGCGGAAGAGACTTAAAAAGCCAAAAATTAAAAATTACATTACAATGCATGCACCAAACCACATATATAAACATATACATATATACACACACACAAAAAAAACCCCACATATACACAGACTGGGCCATAGCAATGAATGGCAGGGGACGGCTAGTGTAAAATAATAATAATAATAATAATAATAATAATAATAATAATAATTAATAAAAATTATAGATCCTGGAAGGCGGATCTCTATTAGTGTCCTTGGAACCCCCGGTGGCACAGGTTTGAATCCAGGGAGTGTCATGAGCTCCCGCTGTTTGCCCCAGCTTCTGCCAACCTAGCAGTTCGAAAACATGCAAATGTGAGTAGCTCAGGAAGGTAATGGCGCTCCATGCAGTCATGCCAGCCACATGACCTTGGAGTTGTCTACGGACAACGCTGGCTCTTCCGTTTAGAAATGGAGATGAGTATCAATCTCCCAGAGTTGGAAACAACTGGACTTAATGTCAGGGGAAAACCTTTACGATCCCATCGATCATCCGGGGAAGCCTTCCTCTCGCTCCCACCTCCGTCACAAGCGCGACTTGTGGGGACGAGGGAGAAGGCCTTCTCTGTGGTGGCTCCTCGACTTTGGAACTTGCTACCTGGAAAGATTAGGCAAGCGCCCACTCTGGAAGAGCCTAAAACCTGGCTGTACCAGTGTGCCGTTGAGGAATGAACAACAAATCCCCATACCTTGACCAACTCAGTACAAAATGCCCTTTGATGCACTTTATCTCACCCTTCAATTAAATTAATTCCCATTGGTCGTCCCATCCCAACCTCCCACCAGATACATTACCCTACTTATCCACCTCACCCAGGGTTTTAAAATCCTATCCGTTGTACTTGGCCCTGCCCAGTCAGCTTAATGTCTTTGTTTATTTTGTTGTACCCCGTGTTTATTTTGTATTACTTTCTTTTCATATATTTTATTGTATTTTATTTTATGTATTATCTTATGAATGTAAGTCGTATTTGTTTTGCTTTGTTGCTGCTATTGGGCTCGGCCTCATGTTAGCCACCCTGAGTCCCTCTACGTCCCATCTTGCAGTTTAAGATCGCCCGTGCAGGCCCTGCTCTCGGCTCTGCTAGCTTTGCAAATTCGTTTGATGGGGATGAGAGACAGGGCCTTCTCGGTTGTGGCCCCCCGCCTGTGGAACTCACTCCCCAGTGAGATGAGGTCGGCTTCTTCCCGCCTGTCTTTCATGGGAAAAAAAAACCTGAAATCATGGTTCTGGAACCAGCACATTGGTTATGAAACTGAATTAGAATGGCTTATGGTTTTGACAAAATTATTGGAATTGAACTGGACTGGCTTCATGGCGTTGACAAATGTTTAAACTGCTTTTAACCTATCTATTGTTTTAAATTATGGCTATACTGTTGTTTGCTTGTATTTATAGCATCGAACTGTTGCCGAGTGTAAGCCGTCCTGAGTCCCCCTTCAGGGGTAGAGAAGGACAGGATAGAAATGCCGGAAACAAACAAATAATAATATTAGTGTCCTTAGTGGTGGTTTAAGTTGTGGGGGGGGGGGGGGGTCCATGTGGGGTCCATATTGCAAAATAAATAAATAAATAAAGGGTTATTTATGTGCACGGGCCAACTTGGGCCCTCCAGGTGTTTTGGACTTCAATTCCCACAATTCACAGCCGGTAGGCTGTGAGGAATTGTGGGAGTTGAAGTCCAAAACACCTGGAGGGCCCAAGTTTGCCCGTGCCTTTCATAATGTGTGGATATAACATGTAATACTAAAATCTTCAGCAGAAGCCATCTGTATTACTGTCCTTTGTTGGGAATGGGGGCTTAGGTTGAGTGTGTTTGTGTGGTTTATATTACTTGAGGGGGGGGCACACTAGATGTTGCGCCCTTTCTTTCTCTTTTTGCAATGTGTGCATATCATTTTAATATATTAATGCGGGGAGGGGGGAGAGAGAGGAGAGAGGGAATGCCCCCCCCCTCCTCCGCGCGCCTTCCTTCCTTCCTTCTCTGTCTTGTCTCCGCGGGGGTTCCTGCCCGTCGCACAAGGCCGAGCCTTGTCTCTTTAAGGAGATATTGGCCCCTAATTAGTCCGCATTCCTCGCGGCGCGGCTGATCCAGCGGCGGTGAGTGGGACTGAAGGGGGGGAGAGAGGGGGGAGGAGGCTCAATGGCTCTTTCCCTCCTCCCTCCCTCCCTCCCTCCTCCTCCCTCCTCCTCCCTCCTCCCTCCCTTGTTGTGCCACCACCCAGCCTTACAAGAGCCGGCGGCGGCGGCAGCAAACTACCCCACGTTACTTTGATTGACAGCCGAACAAATGTTTCCCCTGTTCGAACGCCGGCGCAATCGAACGTCAGCAATCTCAAAGCTCCACCTCAGGCAGAGCGGCGGAGGGAGGGCTAGTGGGCGGTTCCTTTCAAACGCCTCTCCGGGATTGGCCGCCGGAGAGGGATGACGCCGCGCCCCCACGTGGGGGACACCCGAGCGGCGCCCCTCCCCGCCGCCGAGCCGCGAGCCCATTTGTCAGCGGCGAAATGATGGGCATTAATACAGAACGGCGATTAATGAGCGGCCGCCGCTGATTGGTCGGCGGCGACGCCCTCCGTGGGAGGAGCCGCCGAGGGGGGAAAGAGGCAGGAGGCGAAAGCGGCGCCGCGTTGCCTGACGGGATTGGTAGTGCCTCACTGGCTTTTCTCTGGCGTCTAAGCGAGGTGGAAGACTACGTTTCCCAAGATGCTCGGCGGCAGGCTGTCCTCCCGATTGTTGTGAATATGTATCAGAATGTTAATGACCCGCCGCTGCTAAATTTGGTCAAAGGAGTCACCTCGCCAGAGAGTGTTGTTAGAGCGGTTCCGAGCGGAGGGGCCGTTTCGGGGCTGCCGCTTCTCCTTCCTCGCGGTCGATATTGTTCTCCGCGCCGCTGCCGGCGAAGAGTTGGGAAGGGAACGCGCGAGGACGGAGGAGGACGGAGGACGGGGAAGGGGAATCAACAACTCCATCCATCAAGATCGCCTTTCTTGTTTGGCTTTTTGAAAAGGAAGGAAGGAAGGAAAGAAGGAAAAAAATAAAAGAGGGAAGGAAGAAGTGTGTGCGCGCGTGTGTGTGCCTGCGTTGCCTGCGCGCGGGAGGGAAGACCAGCCCCACAACAAAAGGGGATTGATTGCGCGGAGAGGCGCCGAGAAGAAGCCTGGTTGTTTTTACAATTTCGGGGATTCTTGCCAAGCGAGGAAGGGATCGGGGTCGGCGAGGAAGATCGATAAAAGTTTTCCAAACGGCGAGGAAGAGGCAGCCGAGCCCGGAGTGAGTTCGCCTCGCTGGCGCTTCTTGCTCAGCCCCATCGCCGGGAGGAGGACGCGGAGCTCGTCGGAAGGCTCGGACGCGTGTCGGGAAGGAAGGAGGATGCCGCGGGGCCAGTGATCGCCCCCGGGGAATGTGGCACGGGTCGCCCCTTGCTGCCGAGGACCGAGCCGCCGCCTTCCCCTCTTCCTCCTGCTCTTCCTCCTCCTCCTCCTCCTGCCCCTCTCCGCCGCCGCCTTGTGTCCCCGGGGCTGGGAGCGGGCGGGCAGAGCCGGAGAAGGCGCCTCTTCCTCCTCCCTCCATGAGCTGAGGCCGGGCTTCTCCTTTTTGTCGCTGCCCCCCTTTTTTTGTTTTCTTGGCTGCTGCTGCTCCTGGTTTTTTGCTGGCCCAGAGCTCCCACCCCGGCGGCTTGGATGATTCGCGACCTGAGCAAGATGTACCCCCAGTCCAGGCACCCGGTGAGTCCCGGAAAGAGGGGCCTTGGGGGCGGGGGGGGGCATAGAAAGAGAGAGAGAGAGGAGGAGGAGAAAGGGGGGCAAAGAAAGGGAGGGAAAGGAGGATGAGGAGGAGGGAAGTCCTCCCACTCCTCTTCCTCCCCTCAAAGACTTTGCCTTCAGAGTCCCCCATTCTCTTCGAATCCCACCCCCCAAATCTTCCCGACACTTGTCCCCAAATGCCGCCAACTCTCTCCTCTATTTCTCCCCTTTTTCACCCCTCACCCACTCTGTCCCCACTCCTCTTCCTCCCCCCAAAGACTTTGCCTTCAGAGTCCCCGCACTCCTTTCAGATCCCCCCAAATCTTCCCGACTCTTTCCCCCCCAAATGCCGCCAACTCTTTCCAAATCCCTTCCATTTCTCCCCCAGTTTCATCCCCCAAATGCCCTCCTACTACACTGTCCCAACTCCTCTTCCTGCCCCCAAAGTCTTTTCCTTCAGAGTCCCCCCATTCCCTTCCTTTCCCCCCCAAATCTTCCTGACTCGTTCCCCCTCAAAATGCCGCCAACTCTCTCCAAATCCCTTCCATTTCTCCCCTAGTTTCACCCCCAAATGTCCCCCTTCCACACTGCCCCCACTCCTCTCCCCAAAGACTGTCTTCAGAGTTCCCCCCCACTCCCTTCAAATCACCCCCAAATCTTCCCGACTCTTCCCTTCCAAATGCCGTCAACTCTCTCCAAACCCCTCCATTTCTTCCCCGATCCCCCCTACTTTCTTCCACTTTCATCCCCCCTTCCACTGTGCCCCCCCCTTTCCAACGCCTCGCCTGCCAAGCCCACTGCCGACCCCCCTCGGGAGAGGAAAGAGACGACCCCCCCCTCCCCTCCCCTCCCCGCCGCCCTTCCACGCAAATGAGGCCAAGGCGGGAGGAGGGGAGAGTTGGGTGAAACAATTGAGTTGTAGCCATTTTCTTATTGTTGTCTTTGGCTTTTGCGGGCTGCGCCGTGTCGGGAGCGGCGGAGGGGAGGAGGGGGGGGGGGATCGGGGGCAGGGTCGTGTTGGGTCCGAAAGAGAGAGAAGAAAGAACGAGAGAAGAAAGAGGCTTGGCAGGATCTCGCCCCGCTTTGGATGGGTCTTGGGGCGCCCCTTTGTATCGCCTCTTTTGCCCCTTCGATCCGGAGAAAGCCCTGGCCAGCCTTTTCCCTTCTTCAAACCCATTCCCCCTCTCAAGCCTCCCGAGGCTGCGGATGGTTTAGCTTGGGAAGAGGCTCCGAACCAGACCCTTCAATTAGAGGTTGATAGTGGGATGGGCAAGGCGGGCTGTCTCCTCTCTCTGTGTGTGTGTCTGAGTGAGGCAAGGAGCACCCTTGTGATGGAGAGGCAGGAACACTCTCTCCCTCTGTGTGTGTCTAAGACCCCTTCCACATTGCTCAAGGAAATCCCATTATCTGCTTTGAAGCAGGATATATGGCAGTGTGGACTGAGATAACCCAGTTTCAAAGCAGATATTGTGGGTTATTCTGCCTTGATATTCTGGGTTATATGGCTGTGTGAAAGGGCCCAGAGAGAGAGAGAGAGAGAGAAGAGGGCCTTCCACACAGCTTAGCATCCCAGAATATCAAGGCAGGAAATCATTGAGTGTGGACTCAGATAACACAGTTCAAAGCAGATATTGTTGGATTTTCTGCCTTGATATTCTGGGTTATAGGGCTGTATGGAAGAACCCTGAGAGAGAGAAAGCGCCCTTCCACACAATCCTATATCCCAGAATATCAAGGCAGGAAATTCCACAGTGTGGACTCAGATAACCCAGTTCTAAACAGATATTGTTGGATTTTCTACCTTGATATTCTGGGTTATAGGGCTGTGCAAAGGGCCCAGAGAGAGAGCCTGTATGCGCTTGTCTAGTGAGCTTTTTAATAGCTCTTTTCATTAATGATGTATGGCTGACCTCGCCAGGCGTGTGTGTGTGTGTGTGCGCGCGCGTGTGTGCGCACCCAATGGGCCAGCAGAGGAGTAATTAAACCATTTCCCTCTCTCCCCACCTCTTCTAGGCACCGCATCAGCCTGCTCAGCCCTTCAAATTCACCATTTCAGAATCCTGTGATCGGATTAAGGAGGAGTTTCAGTTTTTGCAGGCTCAGTACCACAGGTAATGAAGGATGTGTTGACTTTTTCCTGATCTCTCTCTGTTTGCTGATCGCCGCTTGTCCCTGACCCACCCTGACAAAGGCATGGAGAGGCATCCTCACCTTTCCCACCCTATCTTTCCCCCTTCCTCCTTTCTTAAAATTGTACACTTAGCTCCAATAAGATCTGTCCCTCCCCCGATGACTGTGACCCCCATTTGCAGGTTTTTCACCCCCAAATCAGCCCTTTTGTCTTGTCATGAAGACTGGTTTGAGCGGGAGGCGGAGACTTCAGGATATCAAGAGTGTGCTTTGTTGCACCTCAGACTTATTTCTTCACGGTACTTTGAAACAACAACAAGGGCAAATTTTTACCCAAGTGGGAGAAATCCTCCCAGAAAAGGTCCACCTGTGGCAGATCAGATGCCATGACACAAATGGAGAGCAGGAAGTGCAACCAAAAAAATACTTTAAAGCAGGCATGGGCAAACTTGGGCCCTCCAGGTGTTTTGGACTTCAAGTCCCACAATTCCTAACAGTTTGCCCATGCCTGCTTTAAAGAGTTTGCAAAACAGTTGTGGGTGAGTCCCATTCCCCCAAATTTAGGGGCTCAGTACAAAATGATGGTGTTTTTTTTGTCCCTTTGGATACTGTACCAATATGGTTTGGGAGGCGCCTCTCCTCTGACCCATCTCCTCCATCCCTCGCACGTTGCTTTGCGGTGTCAGGTGTTGATAAATTGGAACTGTGTCTGGAGTGTTCTCTCATTATCCTCCGGGTAGAAGTGCTTCTGAGTCTCCTTGACAAACAAGGTCTCCCAAGATTGTTGCCTCGGCTTTTCAAAGCAGGCAGGCAAGGAGAGCGCAAAGGAGGCTTCATTGCTCACAAGATGTCGCTTGTCGAGGCTGTTGTGTTGCTTTCTTTGAAACCTTTTCAACCCTTTCTGGCTTTGAGTGGTGCCTCAAAGTTTCGGGGCAGTCCAGATCACACGTAAAAAAAGAAAGAAAAAAGAAAACACCCCAGCTTATCAAGCAACCTTTTCAGAAGGGAATTTTACAACAGCAGGCGAATTTATGTTTGGCAATTCTCAAGCCTCCTAACAAATCTTTGCTGTGGTTTTTCTTCCTCTCCTTGTCCAAGTCAGAGGCATTTGCTTCAAAACTTCACCGCATCTTGTTGGAGCAGAAGCTTAATCTGTCAAAAAGGGAAATGATAGAGATGCTTGTTCTTGTTTTTGACTCTCTTAGTATTTCAGTGGCCTCCTGAGATTATAGTCTATTGAGAAGATGTAAACAAGCGACATTCTTAAATACTCAAGGATGTTTTTTTCCCCTTTCTTGATCAGTCTGAAGCTGGAGTGCGAAAAACTCGCCAGTGAAAAGACAGAGATGCAGCGACATTATGTCATGGTAAGTGAGTGGCATAACGAATTCAAAATGTCTATTGTATGAGTGTGGTCTATGAAGAGGGGAATGCTCAGCTTGCTGAAGGCAGTCAGCTAGCTTATGATAGCGCTGCTGTTAAGATGAAGGTTCCCTTATGGAAACCCTGGATCTAAAGGATTCTTGCCTGCTTAATATTGGCATCTGTGATGTGAAGTGTTCTTTTGTGAGGCAGCCCACTTGGACCAAGGCAAAGATGTCCCCCAAAGATGTCCTGGTGGCAGAATATCCTTGATGCTTCTCTATAGGAGGAAATCTTTTGAATCCCCTTATCTCTTTCACATGTTGATGAAGATCTGTTTAGCTGCCCAGAGGCAGATCTGTGCTTCCTTATTGCCTTGGAGATGAAAGGTCTCACATCTCGGTTTCCCTGCTTCTGCCTCTCCGTTGTGTGGAATATATCTATGTTTCAAAGGGAGAGATTTGCATGATCAGTGGAAAAGGAGGAGACAGGCTCTTAATGAAGTCTTCTTAAACCTGTTGCTTCTAAACTAGCTGCAGAAGGCTTCATGTTTAATTGAGGATTCTGGCAATGAGAGTTGTAGACGAATTTCCTCATCAGCCCCCAATATCAGTAGACTCGCTTCAGCTGTAATCAGTGTATGATGAAGTCTCTAAACACCTAATTTTCTGATGGATTGTGATGACGCCCAAAGAGCTGTTTTCTCGCTGTTCCTCTGTGCTTATATGAGGAAATAATTGCTTTCTTTATGTGATGGAGTGACTGAGTTTTAAGGAGGACAATAACCTTGAGAGACAGTCTGCCTCCTCGCCAGAGCACAAACAATCCATCAAAGCTTTATATTCTGGCCTTCATCTGTCTAATATGGCTAGTAGCGAGTATAGTACTAACCGGCAGAACTGAGTAACTCTACAGTGCAGAAAAAATATTTTTAAAAACAATACCACATCTGTTTTAACTATGAGATGCTTTGCTGTTTTGTTTCTTCACAAACCCTGTATTTAATTGTAGTCACTCTATGTCTGTAATTTAGAGATTTGAAGGAGTAGTCTGGTTTCTGTTTCTGATTTATGATCCTATCTCCTTTCTAGAGTTTTCAGCATTTTAGAATCTTAAATTATTGCTGTGGAGGAAATTGTATTTTTAGATGTATCTTTTATGCATTTGTCGGTTTATTTGCCATTTTCTTTATGTTGATATGAACATGGTTTGCTCCTACATTTCCCAGCAAACTTTAGCATGGTTGTTTAATAACTTAGGATTAAAGACAAGACTATTAAAAATGCTTGATATTTGGGAAGATGGATAGCTTGCATAAGCCTTTAAAGGACTACAAACTGACTGCATTTGTGTGATTACAAGGTCTAAAATAAACCCATTTTCCTTTCCCCCCTTAGTATTACGAAATGTCGTATGGGTTGAATATAGAGATGCATAAGCAGGTAGGCAAAGTATTCTCTCTCAACATTACATTTTGTTTACTATACTTGTTTCCTTTTCATGTGTTTGTAATGTGATTATGATGTGTCCATTCAATGTAACAAAACGGGATTCTTTCAGCATGAGATAGGAGCCTATTATTGGCATTGTTGGCTCTGATTTCCTGCAAGTTGCCCCCCCCCCCATTTTTTTGCAAATTCCTGAGAAAAACCTGTTACTGTATAATAGTTACTTTTCCCCTCCTTTGATGTATCTACTGATTGCAAAATCAGAATAATAGATTCAAGCTTTTCAACTTGCTATCTGCTATCTTGAAGAACAAAGGTAGACAAATACAGATTAAATGGCTCTGAGGTCTGTCTATGGTGAAGAGATGGTTGTCTTCATTTCACTAAATGATAGGTGGCTAGGCTTTTTAAGGCTACATAGATTGATAAAAGAAAATGTTTGCAAAATGAACCAGTCATTCTCAAGAGGTATTGAGGTGGACCTTCCAAATGAACCTCTTCTGAGACACAACCTTGCGATGCTGTAGGCTAGCAGTTAGGCCAAGATTAGTAGATGAGATGTTCTTTCTTGGCGATTTTCTTGAATGGTCTTAACTTTTCCTGGTAGAGAACTGAGAATGGTTGGCCTGTTTTCCAATGAGAGGGTTTTCCCCTTGTGAATGTATTTCAGGAAGCGTTGATTGATTTAATTTTCTCAAAACTGTATAGTCTGGAAAGAAATGGTAGAACTGAGTTACCTATTTGTGATCAGTAGTAAAATGTGTACTTGAGAAAAGTTGCTTTAGGAATCAGTATATCCTTTCATAGCTCCTATATCTACAATTTAAAAGACTCATCGCTGTTGCAGACCTCTTAAGTAGGCAGAATATTGATGTCCTCCCCTGTGTTTTGTACCTAAAATACCTTATTTTATGCCTACTGAATTATGCAAACATATGCTAGCATGGAAATATGCAGATTGGAACCTTTCAGATTTTGGGGAAATGTGCAGACATTCATACGATTGACATTAATATTAAGGTTAGTAAGTGTGCTCTATTTTGGAACAACTAGAAGAGTCCAATGGGAGAAATGGTGTAGGCTTTCTTTATAAAGACCTTTAAGTATTTAAATGTGGAAATACCCTTGTGATAAAATTGGTGCCAAAAGCACAGTTGTGTTGTTTGTTTTTTTTGGGGGGGGGGGGCATTAGGGGAAAACCCATCTAGATGTGAAATAGGTCACTCTACCACTAGGGATAGAGGAGAATTGGAAAATCCTCATATGTTGGCTTTAAAAAAGAAAATCAAGTATTTGACTTTGGGGAAAAAATAAGCACTTGGGCTTTCTGAGAAAATTGTATTTAATATATAAATGTGCTGATTTGGAAAGATGGAGTTTAATTAGAATATCATTTTTTCCCTATTACTGTCATTTCTATTCATGTTAGTAATGTAAACACTCCACCCTCTCACAGCGTACTCCTTAATACTTTTTTTTTATCACATGCTGCTGACTGTAATGAAATGCAACAAAGAAAGTGGTTCATGGAGCTATCATTTTGAAAAATCTTATCTCTTCATCTCTGTCTTCATTGCTGTGTAATATGTGAGCTCGGTAATGAAGCTCATGGTACATATTCACCCGCCCTGTGGCTCTGAAACTACAGAATATTTCCCATCTGATGTCATGGCAGTATTGAAAGCTTCATTGGTGCACAGACCCACTTCTGTGGGAACAAAACCTTCAGACCTCCACCTTTTCTAATACATCAATCTTGCTCTTCCTTCCCCAATGCCGTTCTACCCGCTTGGGGCTGTGTGACTGCTTTGGGGATTATTTGTGGGTTTTGTTCTTATATTCAATCATCAAAATCCTAGGGGCAGATTTATCACATTATGGGACACTTACAGCTCTCCAAACCGCCTACTTATTATATTTCTTTCCCTCGGCCTCCATGTCTGCCTCTCCCTGCCTGCCCCCACCAAAGCACAGAGCCCTATCTATCTTTATTTGTTTTCCTAGGCAGACAGCCTTGGTTCCCCTTAGCTCCTTTTCCAGATGTAGATGCTGGATGCCCTTGTAATGGAAAGCAGGCAATAATGCAGTGAAGTTGCCCTCCGGCATAATTGGGCCTAGTTCTCAAGATCAGGTTAGGCTTATTCGCTTATTAGATTTGCGTCTCGGAGGGTTCAAAAGCAGGGCTCCCTAGAGTCCCCGAAAGTACCCTAGTAATTGGTGGCCCTGATATCATCGGAAACCTCTGTGTATTTTTTTTTTTTTGTTAGAGCGTCTGTTCTTCTTGGCTGCTTCCAGCCGCGGAATATTTATTTTCCGAGGAATTTTTCACTGGAACAGAAAATGATTGCTAGGATGGAGTCATGACTCTGTGATTTAGCAAATTGATAAACGGAGAAATGTGCAGAGGTGTGTGTGTGTGCGCGTTCATGCCTTGGGGTAGGTTGGGGGGCTGGAGAAGCTGTGATGAGGTTTATTTCCTCTCCCCCCTTTTGCAAGGCTGATCATCAGTCATCCTATGTTGATTTTGATAGAAGACTATTAAAGTGAAACCTATGGGGAATTTGTCATTCTGAAAGGAAAGCTAATGTAATTAGTACCAATTAAAGTACATTTAGTAAATTGGATTTAATCTTAATTAAGCCTGCATAATGTTGCCAATTTTTAACAATTATGTTTGAGAACATAATTAATTTAGATTTTGGTAACTGAGTAAATAGCATTAGACTGATAGAATTAGTTCATGGAATTATTTTGGGTTTTTTAAAATAAAAAACACCCAACAACACTGGTGTGTGGCATAAAATCTTTCATTTTAAATTTGTTTGTGGCACTTGTTGCTAAGATCAATATATTGAAGTAGATATATTAGGAGGCGCCTGAGGAATGTGAAAAATGTAATACCTCCATATGGTCAGTTGTTAATCATGAATATTCTTATAGAGAAGCAAGTGCCTTGAACCCTGCAGGATTTATTCTCAGTCAAGACTGCTCACAATTGGTTGGTAGATATATGCAACAGAAAATGGAATGAAAAATGAATTGATGTTTAGGGTTGGATATATATATCCTTTTCATCTTGCCTAAATCCCACTGTGTTATAAAAAAAATCAGTAACTCACAATGCCGAGTAATTATTTTCTAACTGTTTGGATTCTATTTCTGTTGATAATTCACTTTGTTGATTATTACACTGCATAATAATTTCATCAAGTACTGAAAGTCTTTTACTCAGATGTTGCTGCTTTATAACATCCGAATCAGCATTTGGCTGCAGATAAGACTTATGAATAGGGTCAGTGGGAAGTTAAATTGGATGGAAATATCATTCTAGTTTTTTTTCCTGACTTGAGAACACAGCATTGCTTTGTTCTTCAGCACAGTGTATTGTGTAGTTCAAAGAATTCTCAATCAGATCTCTGTTTCCGATATATTCTTTTTAAAAGGAAGACTAGACCTTGAAACCAGCTAAAAGGAATGACATTGGTGTGTGTGTGTATGTGTGTGTGTGTTAAATTTCAGGACAGGTCTTCTCCTCCCTGATTCCCTCCAATCTATGTAAATTTTATTACTCGTCTTGGACAACAACCATTTGAGTGCTGCTAAAATATTAATTGAGTAGAAATGAAAGGGCCCTGGCCAGCTGATAGGGTATCATAATCGTAGCTCCAGCAGTCGATGGTAAATGATGATAAATGGCATTAGGAACCTTTTAGCAAACTGTAATAACTACAAGGAGGGAAGTGGTATGGATTTGCATTATATCTGATACCCTCTGGTACCAAGTGGATTGCCAATACTGCTTGTTTAGCATTTTCTAAGGGCAATAGGATATTGATTTCTGACTTACAAGGAACAGCTCTATTTTCGCCATTGAAAAGTATTGCAGGTTGTTAAGAAGAAATTGACTTGAAGAGGCCTGACTGCTGCCCATCATGGAGCAAATAAAGCAAAACTGCCGAAGCATGGTGGTGCAGTGAGATGGGGCCCTCAGCAATTTGTTGCTATTAATTTACCATGCTCGACAGCAAATCAATCGGCATCTACTTCATCTGCTGGAGAAAATGCTGTCCAGGGCAGATAAAAGGCCTGGCGTAGTACAGGGAATAGACTGGATTGGCCAAACAGAGGCTGCAGTTAATGTGTAAATAAGTGAAATCAAGGCCGCTGTTGCAGAGGAAGCTGTTTTTAATTAGGTTGGGGGCTTTATAGGGAGCTATTTAAGAAAGGAACACAGAGCTGGGAGGGAGGACAATTTATTGCTGACTGGGTTAATATATGGCTTGCATGACATCCTAGCCTCACACCTCCCATACTGCATGGGCTTCAGCATATTTTTCTTCTAAAAGTCTCATTTGTTTAAACCTGAGTAAAGCTTGGGCTATTTTTCATCTCCATGGCTCTTGGATGTTTGTATTGAGAGCTGTTACTTTGTTATTCTTTGTTTGTAGTATGGAGTTGGTCAGAACTTGGCATGTTTACCAAAGACTCAGAAGGAGGGTGGTCAATTTAGATCCTCATGTTATTAGACTCCCCAGCAGCCTTAGCTAGGATAAGCAATGGCAAGAGCTTATGGGAGATGGATTCCAATAATTTGGTGTTGTACTCTGGCGTTGCCTGGCTTAGCATCAGATCCTCTCTGGGAAGGAGCTCAACAACCACGACCCATCTGTTTCAGTAGCCATTGATGGATACTCAATAGTATTGGCCAAGATTTGACCTGTCCATTGCATGCTCTTGAAATATGCACACTCCTTTTTCCAGCAGTGGAGAAACCTTTCCACTCTTGGTGGCATGAGACTGATAAGAGACATTGTTCATGAGAAAAAGGAAAAAGGTAGAGAAGCAACTGGTGGATGCTAATAGTTCTTGTTTCTACATATTTTCTCGCGAGGGCAGCACTGTTAATCTCTGCCTTTGCTGGGGATGGAGCATGTGACAGTGACACGTAAGAGCAGCAGTTGCCACTGTTTACCTGCCTAAAGCAAATTATTGCA